TCATCCGAAGATTTGTTCTCATCTGATTCCTCCGATCTGCCATGGCTAGGTTTTGCTAAGGAGCCTTAAGAGATTCTGATCTGGGTTTAGTCACGCGGTGAAGGAGGGAGATAGATCTTTTTTGCGTCGCGAGAAAGAAAAAAAAAACGGTTTGTTCTCTGTTCATATGGATCGTTTTTTCTTCTTTCTGTTGTAGATTCTCTTGAATTTCTGGGTTCGAGATCAATGAGTTTCGTATCTCTGATGTTATGGATCTGAATTTTCTTCTGGATCCCACTAGTTTTGACCTGTTGTTGGTTATTGTGTGACCTAGATTCTTCGTTTTAGATTTGGAATTTAGTGTTTCGGTAATTGATTGATTCGAATTCTTGGAGGAATGTTTCTGGGTTTTGTTTGTGATGATTTTGAAGGTTATTCATTCATTCCTGTACATTGTTTGTAAGATGTTTTGAGCTGGGTTTTCAAAAATTTCAATGTTTTGATTATTATTCATTCACTCTTTGTGTGTTTCTGATACTGTTTTCTCATGGGAATAGTTTGGAATCTTAAACTGTCACCATTAGCGTGTTGGTTTTGTTAAATCATTAGTTTATTATACTTTTTATGGTATGTTGCATTTTTCCTGCAAGTAAAGGCTTATCTTGAATCTATTCCTTGGTTAGGAGGCTGTCATTTTCAGCTTTGTTGGAGCCTTGAGAGACTTTTTGGAGAGGTTAATGGCTAATAAAGTCATATTCTTGTTGTTTCTTTTTTGCATATTTCATTTCATGAAATGAACCAGAAGCTTTTCGTGTCGTGATGATTCATGTTAGCTTTTTTTTTTTTTAATCTTTCTATATGGTCTATTGACTCTATTTAAGATGAGTTTTTGATTGTTTTGCCTTTATGGCTTTTTTTTTTGTTGGTTCTTTAGTCTCTAAAGGCTTTCACTGAGGAGTAAGTTCATACTGAGAGTAGAGAATGGCAGATGGGATATCGAGCTTTTGGGGTCCCGTGACTTCTACTATAGAGTGTTGTGAGATCAACTATGCGTACTCATCTTACATTGCAGAGTTCTACAACACCATATCCAATGTCCCTGGAATCCTATTGGCTCTCATTGGTCTTGTCAATGCGTTAAGGCAACGGTTTGAGAAGAGGTTTAGCATTCTTCACATATCGAATATGATACTCGCTATCGGGAGCATGCTCTACCATGCCACTTTGCAACACGTGTAAGTACCCCTCAGTTCTACTTCCATTCTTGGTCTCTTGACTTTCATGGGCATGTTAAGTTGATCATGAATTGTATGTAGTTGTTTGGTTTACGAATTAAAGTTTCCAGATTGTTATCAGCATCCTGATCCAAAATCTGCATTAATTTCGGTTTATTGATTCTATTAGGCAACAACAGAGTGATGAGACCCCAATGGTGTGGGAGATACTTCTTTACATGTACATCCTTTACTCACCAGATTGGCATTACCGAAGTACAATGCCCACTTTTCTCTTCCTCTACGGTGCTGCCTTTGCCACAGTCCATGCTTACCTCAGGTTTGGCATCGGTTTCAAGATTCACTACGTGATCCTTTGTCTTCTATGCATTCCTCGGATGTACAAGTACTACATTCACACAGAAGACACCGCAGCCAAAAGGATTGCGAAATGGTACGTTGCTACGATCCTAGTGGGAACCATTTGCTGGTTCTGTGACCGTGTTTTCTGCAAGACGATATCTCAGTGGCCAGTGAATCCTCAGGGGCATGCTCTGTGGCATGTCTTTATGAGTTTCAACTCGTACTGTGCAAACACATTCTTGATGTTCTGTCGAGCTCAGCAACGTGGTTGGAATCCAAAGGTAAAATACTTTCTTGGAGTTCTTCCTTATGTCAAGATCGAGAAGCCAAAAACCCAATGAGAAGATAAATTGGGGGAAAAAACAAAAAGCCCAGAAGAAGATCATAAATATAGTCTTTTTTTGTTCATCGTTTTGTCTGAATTTCAATTTCGACGTGGTTTTTCTATTTTATTTTTGGAAGTGAAACTCTCTAGATACAGAGTCTAGATTTTTTTTCTTTCTTTCTTGTATTAGTTACTGGTGGTGATCTGAAGAAGAATTGATTATTAGCTTGCTGAAAAAGCTCTTGTTTCTACTTTTTTTTTCCTTTAGCAATTTAGCATTATCTTTTGGGTTTGTGTTTGGTCTGCAACTTGCTTGCTTTGTGTGTGGTACACTAACTTTGTATTAGCTCTCTAACCTTGTTATTTCTTTTTGGGTATTTTTCAAAACAAAACAGTCAGATTCAATTACAGTGAGCTCTTTTTTACTATACAGAGGTAAAACAAAGGTGGAAAACACAACAAACTTATGGATCCTTCTGTATCTTTTTTGTATCTAGTGACATTTTTCGTAATATGGTATAATCAAAGAGGGTTGTGATGATCTAAGATCCAATAACCTTTTCCTGCAACATTTGGCCAAGCTTCATGAATAGAGCTTGTTGTTCCTCAAATGTCAGGTTTGTGATTATCTGTAAATGAGTAAAAAAGCATCAAAAGCCAAATAAGTAAGAGATTTTTATTCCAAATCAGAATTATTACAAGGTTTTTCTTCTGGTTCTTTTACCTGGTCCAAGAGCTTGTCCACAGAGAGGCTTTGTGGTACAACAAACGATTGATGATATATGTATGCAAAAACAGCCATCACCAT